TTCCGGAAGTTTAGTACCATCCGGTGTTCCCCAAAAATCTCATTTGGGACCATTAATATTCAATGTTTTTATGGACGATATTCAATAGGTACCTACTGCTTTTCTAATGCAAAATTTCTAAGCTTAGCAGGTGATTCGAAAGTTTACAAAGAAATCGATTCACCATGCGACTATGTAGAATTCCAGAGCAAGCTTAACCATAATTTTTAGCCGTAAATTTTTAGCCTTAAAGTTCGTTCATACTATAAATCGAACTCCACCCAGTAATGTAAAATACTTGGGTTTACTCCATCTTGAATACGTATCTTCTGTATGGAACCCATCATATGCAAGCCACATCAATATAATAGAACAAATCCAGAGAAAATTCATAAGATTGATCGCGTTTATATCCAGAATTATTTCTAAGAACTAGATATATAACACTATGTAACAGAAGGGTCACTATATTGTAATGAATCTGAAGACAGTTAATTCTTTAATTCGTTACAATATAAAGACTTGAAGATATTTTTTTAAATTATTAATGGACTTGTTCATTGTCCCTAATTGCTATCCAAGATTGAACTTTCAGTATCTCCTAAATTTTCTAGAAATAACAAAACAAATCAGTACTTCATTGCTTTTTGCCACGAACTATAAGAGCGGCAAATAAAACTGGCCTCGATTCCTTTACTACTGCATCAGAGTCTGTTTCAGAGGCAGTTTAATTCAGTGTGGATATAGTTTCTGCTAACGTCTTTCTAATAGAACATTCATTCCAGTGACATTTTTTATTTGGACATGTATTTGATTATTGGTTGTATTTTTTAACGCTCTTTAACCAATATGACCAAGTTCACCGTCGGATATGAAATAAACAACAGTATTCCGTTTGAGTGCATAAAAGTTCACAAAAATCATAACATCTTCTAAATTAAGTGGTATGAAAAACCAATGCTAGCAAACACTACATCAGTTCCGTCTCTTACCAACTGCAACGAATGAAAATGTATCTGATCAACGCTTCAAAAAACGGGGTAATCATACTCACACACTCATGTTTTAAAATAGAATCATTTAATGAAAGCAATTTTGATTGAGAACTCCTTTCCTGGGCACCTGGTGAATAAGTAGCTCTTTCACACATAGGGATCAACCTCACCCCCCGAGAGCCCACTGATGATTCAAATATTGCCCTTGCTACATATTTTTCACTTCTTCATATTGAAAATCTTACTCTTGAACTAATGCATTCATTCAAAGATATGAATATCAAAATTCCAAATAAATATGTAAAAAAGTCTACAAAGTCTACACGTGATCCAGATCGTTATTTTCTTGTTATAGTATTTAATTGATTTAAATGCAATTTCATCACATCATGCTCCTTTCTTAGATGTCTCGAATGAGAAAATAACAAGTTTCTGTGGACAAGAAATTGTTTTTTTGAAAGCAGTAGTAGCAACTGTTGGAAATATTTATGAAAATACTGATATAGTCTCCATACAAATCAAAGAACACTTCCAGCTCTTTATGGTTTTCAATCTTCCACGAGACCATGAAGGAGCCATCCTTCGAAACTATAGAAAGTTAATACTCTACCCTTCATTTCATCTATTTTCTCTCTCTGGAGTTTTCGAGAAAAATTCGATATACGTTTATTTGAACTATCTCAACTTATCGCTTGTCTTCATTTCAATTCTGCTCATGAACAGATTAGCCATTAAAAGCAATGGCTAGGTGAAATTTCATCATCACGGTGCCCTTATGTTGTCGTCAAAAACAGTTGTTCCCATATCTTTCAATTTCACTATTTCCATAATTTTACTTTCATGAGAGTAGACTTCTCATTATTCTGTTTATATAACAAACCCTTCATCAACACCGTTTTAGCATCAGTATAGATCATCTTTTCATGAATCCAATTTGGTTGATGAAACGAGTTTGGGAGAAATATTTATTACAGTTTTAAGCCTATTCAATAATAGTTATAATACTCATGTAGTGGAATGAAATTTCTCACATTTTGACATATTTTTTTCAGGATTCGTGAATGTGGACCGCCACGTCGGATATGATTTCGAATCAGCTGAACTACTTCTACGAGATTTAGCCACTTTACATGCAGTTCCGTTGGCCATGAAATTGAAAGAACCAGAGTTGTTCGAGAATTCTGTTAAGAAATACTGTGTGAATACACTTGGTACGGATAAGCAAGAAGATATTGATCACGCAAATTTCTTATCTACTTTCATCCAAGAGATACTATGGGAATCTGATAAATGCAGTCCTTTCATACCAAAAGTTAAAGAGATACTCAAAACTCCACCACAACCTGAGTCTGAAGTCAGAGAACCGTTTGCTACATTCGCACATGCTGACCTGTGGGTGAACAATGCTATGATCAAAATGGAAAACGGCACACCGGTAGCAAATAAATTCGTCGATTTTCAGGTTTACACTTACAGGTCCCCTGCCTCGGATTTGTTGTTCTTTTTATTCACCAGCGTTCGCCTGGATGTCCTAAAGAAGGACCTGGACACTTTGATAAATCACTATCATTCAGAATTTATAAGAAACTTAACTGAACTTGGATGCGATACGACACCATTTCTATTACCCAAGTTTAAGGAGGAGTTAGCTTTTGAAGCAAAGAGTACTCTACACCACATTTTGATGTTCTTACCCATGATTGTTTTTGGTGAGAAGAATAAGGCGCCCATGACTCCCGATGACGGAAAACCACCAGATATGACTAGCTCCTCAGTTAGAGACGAAATGAGGAAAAACACCCATTCCAAAGCGAAAGAAAAAATTTGGTTTACAATACAATCATTCGGGAGAAAGGGATGGCTGTGATCATTTGGGACTGATATAAATCACCAAAATAAATGTGAATATATTTATTACCTTCTCTAGTCTTATTTTTCTTCAACCACAGAAACATATTGTTTCGATCCTATAGTAATTTGTACATCAAATCATCGTATTTCAATGAATAATACTAAAATGGGCAATAAACAGGACTCCCAATAATTACTTCAATTACTACGTTTGTTTTAAAAAATATATTCCCTTTTGATTCAAATCAGATTTCTATGGCTAGGATTAAATCAAATCAGCGAATGAATGTCATTACGTACCTACTGTCATCGATAACATGAGTAGATTCAACTCATTCGTGACATAAGGTCTAATTTTATGAATGGAGTACTTTATTTTGTAATGTTGGTGAAGAGGCAATAAGACAAACATTTTATTCCGAAGCATCGATATCCACCATTGAGAATGACAGTGTTCCATGTAAGTGAAATTTGTACCTCTTTGATAAACTAAATTGTGTAGTAAATATGTGAATGATTCTGATTCAATTCCAAAACGAATATAAAAATAGTTGTTTCAAATGTATTGTTACGTTTTTCCCCGTGGGTTCACCAATAATTGACTACACTGAATCATCAAACTTAACTTTATTTCATTTTAAATACACAAATACTTCAACTAAAACTTCAACTATTATTTGAATGTCTATCGCCTTACTAGATCACTTCGTGTACCGCATTGTAACGTCCACTTCACTGTGTACTTGACTGTCCCGATATCCTCGTGGCTAGCCTTTAAATATCGTAATCGAATGTTGTCGAAATTTCTCCGAAATTCTGTCGAAGTCGGTAACATTATTCTCGCTACTTCTCGATTGGCGGAAGAACATCGTACACTCTCGCGCTTTTAGCCACGTCACGCCTGGTTTATGGCTACCAGTGACGGCCGGCGTTATTTTCTTTCGGGCATGATTTACAACAGTATTTTTTCTTTCATGTAATTCAATGTTTACAAGAAAATAGTTGTTTCGAGGGGGCTTTTTCTTCCAGCTTTGTCTGAAAGTTACTTCCTCGTATAATCTACACATCTTTGTGTAGATTATACATCTTCATTTCTTTGGAAAATTCCCAATTTTTGTGTAAAGGTGGAAAAGTAGGAAGCCAAAACTTTCGTTTTCCACAAATGTATCTCTCCTAAAAATATATTTTTCAATTCATGTTAACAATGTCTCATGTTGAATGTTGGGACTCCGTCTGAAAAAAGTGTGAATATGTTTCATATTTAAGTGAATTCACGAGAATGAAGCATCGTAGAACAAAGAACGAATTGACAAAGAACGAATAAACAATGAACATGAAATGTAGAAAAAACTATCCTCTAGAGAAGAGCATTCACCAACTACGCTATCGGAGTCACCAAGCAGAATAATAGCCGAATCACATCTCCAATTCAGTAGGTATGTCTTAGTGTTAGTGAGAAAGGAATGACATTTTTCAACTGCGACAGAGTTAACGAGTAACTGTCATGCATCCGAAGATCATTTGTTTTTTCATTCTAGAATCACTCAGATAAAAGGACATCAGCAGGATTTTACAATATAAATCCCATTGCATGAAATTCACTGAACATACGTACAAACGGAAGTTTTATTGTCTATAATTTAAAAATAAAAAGGTTGATTTTCGGTATGCAGAAAAATAAAAGAAAAACTTAATTGAAAAAAATGTTAACTGACTGATTTGAATCCGGTTTTTTCTGTTCTCTAGACAGGCGCGTTTACCAACTATGCTATCGAATCACCGAGCAGAGTAACGGCCAAAACTCATCTTCAACGGTGTTAGTTCGAAGAAGTTAAAATTTGTTAACTGTGATGAACCTAACAGCTATACTTGTATGCATACGAAAAATAAATGGGTTACTTGATTTTAGAATCGTTAACATTTAGAAACATCATCATGAGTTCATAAACGAAACGACATAATAGAGAAGTTAGTGTCTCTTACATAAGTACGAAATATTATACCTGCGGTATGCTGACACATGAAGTTCATCACAATTAACAAGTTTCGTTCTGTTCACTCTAACACCATAAAAGACTGAATAGAAGGTGTCATTCTGCTATCCCTCTGCATTATTAATTAATGCACCTTGACTTTGATCCAATAAAGAATATGCTAAATTCATGCTTTAATAAAAAAAATATCCAAGGTTTCGAATTAATTCAATAATCGTTTTTTTAGATTGAAATACCTAATCAGCTCCATCGATACTAGAATTTCAAGTGGAGAAGACAAGATTCATTTTGAAAAGCCTATTGCAAGTGAATGACGATAAGATAAGTCTTTGTAAAAAGTCCGAAACATGAGTACCGAAACAATAGAATGAAAAATATTGAGGATTTGTTGAGATATTAATAGGAGAACAGATCCGAAAATTGAAAATGCGGTGGTTGATGAAAAAAATAGTAATTTAACATAAGGTTTTTTTAAATTCACTAATGGTAAAAGCCCCATTTTAGGCCAATTGCATAAAATTAGTCAACACATATTTAATATTCAAATTTTCAACTCCCAAAATCCGGCAATTGAAGTACCTATTATGGTATGTAAAACATTGGACAGGGACATTCACAATTCGAGGTTGAAATTTATAATCATGATAACATGTTTACTCGCTGTGGAATATGAAATGCCCACAGTTTATCATGTGTAAAAATAACTTTTTGTAGCATAAAAGCATCAAAACCATAGAAACTTTTCAATAAGCAATGTAAACTGTCAAACGATAGTTATATATTATCTTTTGTTTCCAAAATCTAAGAAATTGCCTGAATCGTCGACGATTCACCTTTGTATATCTATCTTTCCTCGAAATACTGACTACAGCTATCATCCAAACAAGAGCTATATCTGATTAAACGCAGACGTTAACTGTTAACCTCTTTCACTTGTAGAAGAAAATGGTGATTTATGAAAGTTCAGCTTAAGTCTATGAAGAGACTTTAAGCTGTACTCTCCCATCATCTTCTGAGGAACCCGGAACGGAACCATATCGAAATCAAGCAAGCTCTTTTTAACAAACTATATGTGTCTTATCGCGTATTTCATTGATGACGCATGTATATTCTTTCGTCGACCCAAATGTATTCAAGAGTAGTCCATAATATACGGAGTTTGATTGACCTTGATTTGCCCAGGTGCACAAAAATCATGTGAAACCCAATCGATCTAGATCAATACAGAATATTTAATAAATGCAGCATCACTTCTGATGGAATTAGTCAGGTCTACAGATTATCTGGAAGTTTAATGACAAGGTTAACATCAAAAAATTAATATTTTGAATATAAATTCGAATGTTGTTGACAGTGGCTTACGGTTATTGTACTTTGAGTCAGAAAAATGTTTACAAGTGGTAATAGTTTTTCACAGGAAGACGAGAAAATGTGAATGATGACGCTTGCCCTGGACGTCCCAGCACATCAATAACGGATGAAAATGTTGAGAAAGTGAAGAAAATTGTTATGAAGAATCGTCGAATCACTATTAGAGAAGTTGCAGATAATTTCGGCATATCGGTTGGCTCATGCCATGAATTTTTTTAGAAAATTTTGGGTATAAAGCGTGTGGCAGCGAAGTTCGTTCCAAAATTGCTAAATTTTTACCAAAAAAACGTCGCATGAGCATCGCTCACTAATTATTGAATGACGTTCAACAACAATCCAGATTTGCTAGTGACGAATTATAGGTATATAGTTATAACATCAAAACCAAAGTCCAATCATCCCAATGAAAGAGCCCAGGAGAGCCGAGACCAAAAAAGAATGCCAAGTTCGATCGAATGTCAACGTTTTGCTCACTACTTTCTTTGATTACCGTGGCGTAGTTTATCAGTAGAGTATTACTTTGAACACTCGCACGAAGCAATACGAACAAAATATCGGGTATTGTAGAAAAACAATTGATGACTTTTACCCACTCGCCAGTGTGAGTGTCCAAAAACAACACCGTAATCATGCCTCAACCACCTTAATCACCAGATTTGGCCTCCTGTGAATTTTCTCGTTAATTAGATTCAAGAGACCCACGAAAACCACAAAACCCTCCTATGGGAAGGTTGTCGTGGGTATCAACCTGGGAATCTTGCAACTTGACTATCCGACTACCTCATTACCAGAGCATATACCTTGTGCCTGCCCCGCTGGGGACCGAATCAGGTCTTTAGAGTACGGTGGAGCCGTACTCTTACCATCTCACCTGAAAGACCACTCACCATACAAACTAATCAGCTTCGATAAGAAGCTGGGTTTATTTGGCCTAGTGTGAATAGGTGTGAGCCACAATAAACCCTTGCGGGTTGTAGTGGAGGGTCGAATAGACCCACTCACTTTGGACCTAACCTAACCTAAGGACAACGTTTTGCGACGATTGAGGATTCAAAAATCGAATCGCAGAGAGAGCCTAAAAACATACCAAAAAGTTCATATTAGAACTGCTTCGAGAGTTGGAACAAACGCTGGCATAAGATTCTGAGGGGGAGTAGTTTGAAGATGACATGATGAAGATTGTCGGGGAGCTAGCCCATAGCCTGACACACTGCGACCTTTTCAGATCTATTGTGATGCTCCTTGGTTGTTAGAGCTCATTGTCTAGCTTGATCTCTTTGAGACTCCATAGCATTGACACTGACTCCTTCATATAGCTGGCAGCCTCTGGTTTTTCTTCCCCGCATCATGCGTGTCTCAGTCTTGCTTCCCTTCATATAGCTGGCAGCCTCTGGTTTTTCTTCCCCGCATCATGCGTGTCTCAGTCTTGCTGTCGCTTCTCATTAACAGAGCACATCCAATGCGGTTTCTTCCTCTTCTTGACAGAACCCGCATTAGGTTTCTTTTGTCAGACCCTTGTTGCTCATATGTTTTCTGAGCCGGCTATGCCCCGTTAGTAGACCCACCACTACCCTTACAACCTTACTGTGGTTTAGCAGGTCTTCCGTGAATCTGGGCGATGGTTTCTTTATGAACTCCTTCGCCTGCTTCATTCCTGGGAGCTTATTCCACCAATCTATCCATTCGGCTTGCATCCATGAATTTATGGATGTCTTTATACATGCTTTCGCTACCCCGCAGAAGAGTTCTGGGCTGATTATAGGCTTGGATGCGCCTTCACGGGCTAGAACATCGGCCTCCTCATTGCCCTTGTGATCCTCATGTCCAAGTACCCAAGCTAGAATGACCCTATTTTGGGTACTTAGCTCCTTGAGTGCACCCAGACAGCTTCCCATCTAGCTTGAGAAGACTTGAAATGAGCTGAGCGCTTTAATTGCTCGAACACAATTGTATTATGTCCGAGGCTAAGTGCGATTCTTGTCTTTGCTCTGCCTCCGTATATACAGGCTCCTACTCCTTCTTGGTTCTTTGAGCCATCTGTATACCAAGTTTCTTCTGCTTTTACCGTTGGGCCGTTTTGCCCACCGGTATGATGATTTTAAAATCTTTTTGAAAGTTGTACTGCGGAACTGTGTTATCCACGGGCAGAGCCCAGGAGAGTCAAGACCAAAAAAGCATGCCAAGTTCGATCGAATGCCAAGGTTTTACTCACTATTTTCTTCGATTTCCGTAGCGTAGTGCATCAGTTCTTGCTACGTGGTCGTAAGGTCAATAAGGAGTTTTTTTAAGTGATGCAACGCTTGCGAGAAGCAATAAGAAGAAAACATCCGATTTTCACTTATTTTTTTAAAGTTGACATTCAAAACTTCATTTTATTCTATGATATAAATATTTGAATATATAAAAAATTAACTTGCTGCGCCGCACCGTTGACTTAATACAGGTAATACAGTTACAGGTGATAAGAGGTAGGTAATACGAAAAGTCATAAGTAATAATAGTTCGAAAAAATGAGTTCTTGTTGCTCTTTTTTGTAACTATCTTATGAAATAAAAGGTAAAACTGGAAAATCTTTCGTAGAATTAATACAATACATGAACTTTTCCAAAACATCAGACCTGCAATACTCTTTTCAAGGCGCGTATCACCAAGCAAGGTGGCCTATTCAGAAGATGAAGTGAAGACGTCCACTTGATTGGTGAAACGCGCATCAGGATGATTATTTCAGTTCTGATGTTTGAAAAAAGTACTTGCTGGGCAATATGGTATCAATCTGAAGTTAATGGCAGGAATATCAAAAGACTAATCTAATGCTGAAGTCATAATGGGAAAAAAGTAGGTAAATCATGAGTTCATAAATGTATATTTCAAAATTTTGTTTTTTTGGGCATAAACTCAAATAATTGTTTATAATAATCAAGATAATTCAGATGTTTGACTGGGATAGGGTATCCATTGCAGAAAAGCAAAAACCAGAAAAGATACCAAAATCACATTAGCCACCAAGCATATGCATCTTGAGAATAGGTTAGACTGTCAGAATAGGGAACTTCTTTGATTGGTCAATTTTCCGTGACTGTATTCCGTTATTATGCATAATGTACAAGCCATTGCTTGTTGCTTACTACTCGTAAATTTCGCATCTGTCACGGCTTTTTCTGTCACTGTATTTAATATTTAGGTTCGGAAAATGTCCGTGATGTCTGTAAATTCTTTCTCATCACCCTCTAATTCTACTAGCCGCTTATAATATGATAATATTTCGGTGCTGAAATATGTACCAAATGTACCTTACCACTAGGGTTCCCAACCCCCCAGTATTGTAAGGGAGACTCCCAACATCCCGGAGTGCAATTAATTCTCCGGTTTCTCTAACAATTAAATGCATCCGTCGCTCGCTCGTCGCTACTCATTCGCTTTGCGGCCACGACACCGCGTGCTGTTCCGCTGCCGGTCTAAACCTGTTCGTCTCGCCGCTTGCCGAGTGTGTCACGAGTCACGAGTTGTGACAGTGTAAGATGCCAGGTTTTTAGACATCTAATGACAGTGATGCGGAAACAAATGCAGTCTTATGTATCTTTAGTTTATACAAAATATAATGCAAGTCTTTCAGAACGCCATTAAATTACTGGAATCCGACAAAGTAGCACTGAAATTCATGACATAAATGATTGATCTGAAAAAGAAGCTGCAAAACAGACAAGCTGACAAATTTCATGGTAAATCTGCCATGGATTTATTAAAGCAGTTTGATGAACCACAAAAAACAAATTTCAAAACTGAGTGCAATAACTTTTTTACACGATGTTTGACATATTTACAAAAGTGCGTGTTCAGTATGATGGACCAAGTATGGGGCAAGGAAAGAAACCGAATGAGTTTTTCTTTAGTAAAAGCAGAGTTACAAGTATTAACAAACTTCGATTTTTCATATAAAAACTTTTATGATTATCTGATGAAACACCGACAAATATTAGATGCTGCTCGAAAACAAAATAAATATAAATTAAATAATCAATTAATGATTTTCTTTCAATCCCCCGCTCCCTCGAAAAATGTCTTAAACATAAAATTCAACCAGGTTGGTTCTTTCGAGAGTTTACAAACCTACTCACCACTCATGTAGAGAATTTTTGCCATAGGATGTTGATCACGTTTTCTGTCCCACGAATTAATATATAGGGAGCAATATAAATGACCTAATCTAATCTTTGCCTAACCTAACCCTTCACCGAAAAATAAACTTTCCTATTTCAATTTTTTTGTACAGCGTTTGGTTAAGAAAAACCCCAGTTGTAATTACTATTTGAATGAATAAAGGCCGTAGAACTTTTGGCAAGCAATTATTCTCCAACTTTTCCAAGATTTTCATGTGAACTGAAGACATAATAATGAAAATCAATTTTTATTTCAGTACTATAGAAAACATACATTTTTAAGTGATATCATATGACTCTGAAAAAATTCAGCAAAGACTTGTAGTCTATACTACCTATCAGCAGGGTGTCCTGAAAAAGGACCTGGATCTGAATAAAACACAATCATTTGGAATTCAACAAAATCTTGACTATTCCAGGATCAAAGAAAAAATTTGGTTTATATTAGAGATATTCAGAATATTTCAACTCCGCATCGAGAATGAAATGCTTTCATCTGTGACTGAGATAAATAATTTACAATTGTGGTTTGACTCTGAACTTTGCTTTACCAAACATATCAGCTATCTGAATAAAACTTCTCGAACGTTCTCAGGCAACTGTTCCAAATTGTGATTTGCTCAACACTAACCTTAAACTTCTGTTATGCGAGTCACTGATGTTCTCAAAAATGGCTTATCGCAACAGTATTTGTGGACTTGATTTGAGACAATCGGATGGTCTTTGTCTTCTACAGCATATTCAGAATAGCTGTCTGAGTTTCTCATTTGATATCTAGAAATATGACCATATGTCCTCAGCCAAGCAAGAACCAGGATGGTTAAAAGTAGAGAAACTCGTAACTTTGCACCTACTCACCAAAACATATGAAGCTTTGACCTCTCGTCAACCTGGTTACTTACTGAAGAAGCTTAGAATGTCCTCAACAGTTGAGTTTTAGTCATCTCCAAACACAAATCTTCCATCTTCACAATTTGCTTCCCTTACAATCAACTATCCTGTGAGTTTAAGTTCCATACAACTAACAACTGACTAACTAACTGACCTCTCGTCCATTTCTGACCTTGCCAATAAAAAAAGGAATTTTCTAGAGCGTTTCCATTAACTAATTTCTTGAGCTTGTGATCATATTATCACCATTAACTCGATTTTCCCTGTTATAGTTTTTTAATTATTATTCCCAGATTGAGTTGAAAAGCAGCCTTGGCTGATACTTCATCTATTCAGATTTATACTGACACTACTTGTTATAGTGAATAAAAACTATTATTATCATTATTATTGTCATTATGTTTGGAAGAAAGTACTACTTTTTGTTCACGCCCTGAAAAATCCCAATGATTGAGTTCCTCGAGAGAGTAACTTACTAAATTTGAAATATGTAAGGAAGGCGCTCACTTTTCTTCAAGTGACACTGAATGATTTCTCATATTTTATATTCAATCGTATTCTGTCATAAAACAATTTGATTTTAGTTCATTTTCTTTGGAGTGGAATGTTAATTATTTCTTCTTGTGAGGTAATCATGTTTTTCATGCCATAGGATTCTTTTTCATGAGTTCTATGTCCGAGTCCATCATATCCTTAACTAATTCAGGAAATGTTACTTTCGGTGACCAACCAAACTTCCCTTTGGCTTTTGAAGCGTCTCCTAATAAAAGATCCTGAAACAAAATGAAGTCATGTTAAATGAAATTATTTGATAGTAGTTTTAACTTACTTTATAATTAGATCTGGGGTTTTTAAAACGTTCGACAGGTTTTTCTTTATTAGAAAAGTAGGGAACTGTAGAAAACTTTTGATTTTTTAGGTTATGTTTTTTTAATGTCACTTCATATCATATAAAGTTCTGATCTATTGAAATGAGTGAAGTAGCAAAATAAAAACGTCAACAGAGTTGGTGAATAAAATGAGTTTATTATGTTTACAGATGAATCCATTACTCTTTGTTGAAGCAATCCATCATAAACTTTCTGTTGAATTCTTTTTGCACAATAAAAAATATCACACAGATATTTTTTGTGTCACAACTCACAACACTATATAGAGTGCTTCGAAAGTATGGTCAATTCCAATAACAAATTATATAGTTTTTTTGTAGTTTGCAACTATTCAAATAATCATATATGAATTTGAAAGAGGAGTGTTATGTAACCAAATATTTTGAGTTTTGAGTGAAATTGAATATGAAACGTACTAAAATTTTTATCTATGTGTAAAAAAATTCAGTTATTTCTACTGAGACAACTCAAAAAAATCTCTAACGCAAACACCTTACGGCGTTCAAAAAATAAGTTGAAGCATTTTTTTAAGAGCCAATATTTCAACTTTTCCATTACGATATTGGAAATATTTCCTTCTCAATTAATTTACACTACAATTCACTCCATTAATTTACACTTCCATATTGCCTGGGAACTTAATGTTCTCTAATCAAGGATTTCTGTATTTGTAACTTGCCATAAATGTACAACTGTATGTGAAATGGTCAAATAAAGTACTCTACTCTACTATATATGTTCATCTAATAATATTTCAACTTTTGCTTCGTTTCTACAACCTGAATTTGTTTTATCATTTTGTTATTATTTGATTTGTTACAATTATACGGAGATGTATGAAATACGGAAATGAAATTAAATGAATGAATACTCAATGGTTTGAGGGTTGCAAAGACAGGTGCTCTAACTATTCTTTTAAATATGTATTTTGTTTCCTTTGTATGCTATATTTGAATTCATTTATAATAATGGATCATTATGAACCCAATTTCTCACCATTCCACAAATCAAAAATTGTTAGAAAAACAACATCCCTGAATGACCAACAAGTTTATTCTTTCAGCCAATTTTCTCAGATCTGTATTTGTGGTATGAAGAGATTTCAGTACACCTTATTTCAATGTCTGCAAATAAGGAAAAAAAAATACACGGTAGACACGCAAACCTGAAATTGACAGTAAACTACAAACTTTCAACTAAAAACTTTCAACTAAAAATCATGTCTCTTAATATTTTTTCTCTGTTGGGACAGTTCAACACTCGTTTGTTCATTATTCAGATTTGAGTAGCATGAAATAGAACTCATTAGAAATACCGATAAAGCTAAACTAGAATATCTACTCAAACTGTCAGTCAGTTTGAGTAGAGCCTAGATGATGACAGCACGACCAGCTGTCGAAAGCGCTCGCATATAATTAAATAGGAGTCATAAAGCTTCAAATCCTTTTTGTGACTGGTACAGAGTACCAATAACTATGATTTAAGATAAAGTTTTAAGCGTTTATTAAATGTCATTATTGTGTTTGAAATCACTGGGCAGTTTATTATACAGGTTAGAGAAAATATATAAAGAACTACGAGTAAAAAGTGCCGAGCTGTCATTTCAATTTTCAATTTTATTTGTCTTTTCAGAGATTTCAAATTATATTATATTAGACAATGGAAGAACGAAACATTGTCAACCACCATTTTATTTATTTTGTACCAATCATTAGCTGAATTTGTACTGAAATATTGTATTAAGGTCTGTGAAATAAATATCTTACCACTTCAGTGGGTCGAAAATATTTTGGATTAACCCTGACCCTGATGATACCTGTATCTTTCTCTTTTCCAACTTCATCTTCGTCTTTACCCTCCCATATGATTTCTTTGCCTACATGTCTGAAAGACATTTCCACGAATTCTCTAACGCTATGTATGATTCCAGATGCTATTACATAATCTTCTGGCGTTTCTTGCTGCAACATCAGCCACATCGCCTGGAAACGGTAAGATATTTGAGGAACTATATAATTCATACTGAATAATCGCTATTCCTGAAACATTTTATACTAGTCAGCTCAAAAATTTGCCAGTTAGGCCCTTTATCCACTTTGAGCGCTTGTTCGGTCCATAATTTATCAGAAATGTAAAACAATGTTTTAGTCTTTTATAAATACAACGGTAATGAAGTTATTGATAATTCATGAGCCAATAAAAATACTTCAAAAATATTGATAGAAATATAGAATTTGGAGTTTTATTAGAGCTATGAAAATGTAACTCATCAATAGTCAAAACCAAACTTTCTTAACAAAAATTTTGTTAGCATGGAAAATCTAATAATCTTGAACTAAACCAAAGAGATTTTTTTATAAAGATAGGTACATAAAAAAAATTATTTCACCTCTACATAATCTTTGGCATGTCCCCAATCTCTTTTTGCATCTAAATTACCAAGTTCCAAGAATTCAGATATGCCCAAGTGGATCTTTGCTACTTCTCTAGTTATTTTTCGCGTAACAAAGGTTTCTCCTCTTCTTGGACTTTCGTGGTTGAAAAGAATGCCATTGCATGCGAATATGTTGTAAGCTTCTCGATAATTGACTACTATCCAGTAGGCATATAGTTTGGCACACGCTGAAAGGAAACGTAATAATGTTTATAAACACGAAACTTTCAAAGACTAGATTTGAGACGATATAGATGGTTATGACTATAAATAATGTTGTGAATCATGTCCTTAAGAAAATAACACCGACCGACACTGGAAGCCATAAACCAATTGTGACGTAGCTAAGAGCGCGCGAATGTACGATGTTCGCTGCCGCTCTAGATGTAGCGAGAATAATGGTACCGACTTCGATAGAATTCCGGCAAATTTTCTACCGCATTCGATTACAATATATAAACACTAGCCACGAGCATATCGACACAGTCAAAAGGAAGTTACAGTGCGGTACGACAAGCGATCTAGTAAGGCGATAAACATTCGAATAATTGTTGAAGTTTTAGTTGAAGTGTTTGTTGTATTTAAAGTGAAATAAAGTTAAGTTTGACAATTCAAGTGAAGTCAATTATTGGTCAACCCACGGGGAAAAACGTAACAATAATATAAATATACTTGCGAATGATGTGTAACTTACCATACGGTGATCTGGGATAGAACGGCGTTTTTTCCGATTGTGGAATTTCGGCAACTTTTCCGTACAATTCAGAGGTTGAAGCTTGATAAAACTTGGTGGAGTTTTCCAAACCACACGTTCTGATGGCATCTAGAAGTCTCAACGTTCCCACAGCATCCACCTCTGCCGTATACTCGCTGAGATCAAACGATACTTTCACGTGACTCTGTGCTGCAAGATTATAGATTTCGGTTGGTTTTATTTTCCCAACAATTTTCACCAAACAGCTAGAATCGGTCATATCACCATAGTGAAGGTGGAAATTACCCCCTTTGTGTGAATAGGGGTTCGAATATAAGTGAACAATACGGCTAGTGTTGAAACTGCTTGCTCGTCGGATTATACCGTGTACTTCATAACCCTTGTCCAAGAGAAATTCTGAGAGATACGATCCATCCTGTGGAAAAAAAAATTGAGTTATGTAAGGTTAGGTCCAAAGTGAATGGGTATATTCGACCATCCACTGCAAACTCGTCCAAGCACTGATTCGTTCCGCCAGGGCAGACACAAAGTATGTAATCTGCTGTGGAATCATCTTCCAAACTGAGATGGCAGGCACTGTCTTTCGACAGTAAGTAGACCTCTTAAACAACATACTTCGAAGGAATAAATGCCTTGGAATAGACCAATAATGGTGAATTTTGCCAGACTTGTTTGGCAAAGCCTTAAGAGATGCCAATGACAGGTTCTGGTCCGATGAAAACGCTTGCAGCACTATGCCTCGCAAGAAAGGCAGCAGCTTCCTTAACTTTCAGGTCAATGTGACCAAGAATTCAAACCAAAAATGATTTCTTGAGTGTTCCTATCGAACACTTCCTTGAACTTGAACGTTGCTCGGTAAGAGCTAAGTGCCTTCAAAGCCACTTAGCTATCAAAGGGTATTTTAATTTATATATCTGTGAGGTTTTGGTCTCCAAACATAAATCAATGGTAGCTGATATCTTATAACTCAATGAATATTGGTTACATTTTGGAAAAAAAAGCATAAAGCATTTTTGTATTGCTAATTTTTCATTATTCATGAAATGTTTTGAGCTCTGGGTAAATCGATGAGACACAAATTCGACGGAAATTCATTCTAGGTCACAAGTGAAAAAAGGTAGGGCCGTTTCTTTTCAGCTAGAATCAGTTGTGAAACTATCCAAGGCTATCAAATTTCTACTGCTGATAAAATTGCAGCATGCTGAATTTTCGCCAGACCTTCATTTCATAATATAGAAAAATTTCTGACAAAATAGAACAAATCTGAGTGTAGTTTTTTATTCGATATTGAAGATTCAGAAAGGAATTAATGTACCTACCTGGGAAAATCATGTTTTTGTTTGTTATAAAAGTATCTACGAAAATAGTCTCTTTTTGGAGCACATCACATAGTTTCTCAATTTCTCAATAATTCGTTTTTCACATGATAATATTTACAAGTTATATGAAAAAATAAAAATATTTTTGAACAGTAGGTATGATGAAAAAATGAGGTTATAGTTTTTGAAGAAATTCATTACATAAAAGTTCTAATGATATTTCCGTTAATCAACGTTACATGATGGAGAAGTCACAAATTTCGAAAAAGTCAGCCTTCAAATCATAATATATATTAATATAATATTTCATATAACAAAAGATATTTTTTAACGTCAACACAGTTAGTATTGCTTTATCTTCCAATGGGTCTAAGGCAACGGTCAGCAACAGGCGGACCGCGGTCCGTTGGCGGACCGCGAAAGGTCGAACCTCGTACGCCAAGTATACCAAGTTCAAATTACTATGTAGATAAGGCATACAATACCTTAATTGAATAAAAAAAATGTTTGAGCCACATAGAATTTAACTCAGTACTTATTTTATTTTGAGTTTCCTAGCTAACCTGTTTTACAAGTACCTACAACTGATATGATTTGATTAGTTTCCCATCTAGCCTGGCTAATTAAAAAACAAGTAACCTCCATTTTGCAAAACTTAGATACGCAGAAAGCCAGAAAGCACACAAACAAGCGCAATATGCTGGTTGTGGCTTTCCTAAAAGATATTTTGAAATATTTGAATGCGTTCAACACAGAGTTACAAAGAAATCTCAAATTAATATGTGATCTGATACAAAGAGTGTCTGCTTTTAGTCGCAAGCTGGATATCTTTGAAAACGATATCGCAAAATAAACTTTCATTCATTTTCCGACAATTCTCGAGTATAAAAAGAACTCTGAAGAAGACATTGTGCAGTTATTGTGAAATTTCTGGCCTATCCTTGGAACGATGTAGCGGCAGAATTGACAGTTGTAGCTGCTCAACTAGAGATAATCGATTTTCAAGAAGATGTGTCTTTGCAAATGTATAAAGCGGCATCCTAATGAGAATTTTGGACCAAACATGTCCCGGAAAAATATGAAACTTGCAAGAACGTATCTATAAATTTGGCCATTATGTTTGGCTCGACATACGTACCTATGTGAAACATCTTTCTCAAAGATGAATTTTTTGAAAAATAAATATCGGTCGAGATTAACGGACGCCCACATAGAAGACCCACTTCAAATTTGCTGTTCCTCTCGAGAACCAAACTGTCTCAAGACCGTCGGTGTAGTTTCTCACATTAATTTATGTTTCTTGTGTTCTTGTGATTTGAAACCAAAATAATACATGGGTAACACGTCATTGTTCTCAGTTGTTTTTTTCTGGACCACATTAAAATTTTCTCGCAGTATACGGACCCCAGTTAAAACTATTTGCCGAACCCTGTTCTAAGGCATAATACCTACTATGCCGCAATCATGGAAGGGTATATGGAATTATAATTATTTTATTTTAAATCTGTAGTGACACTGAGTGTATCGTTACGGAATATAGGTATCTATATTAGGAATCAAATGCAAATGTATTTGAATTGTTCATTTTAGAGAAAATGGAATATTATTATAGAGATATCCTTGATTCAAAAAAGTTATATATCATATCATTGTAACAGTTTAGGAGATATTTCTCTCGATAGCATGCATTATAGGTATGCGTTTTAATGGACAAAAATAATTTCTACGAAAAAGTATCAGTTTTTTCGTAGAAAATTTCATATTATAACTTTAAAACCGCATTTTTGAGTAACCAGAAAACCATTTCTGTGGATTTTTTTAAGACAGTAATCGTAGAAAAAGTATATATATTGAAAAAATTTAAATGCTTCGTCTACACTCGCGCTGATACCGGTAAGACTGCTGATTGAGTTGTCAAGTTTTAGTCGTTCAATTAGCTTCATATATGTATGTTAGAAAATATTCTCAATATAATGTTCATATATCGATATATTTTGAGCATTATTATAAAAAAATCATATTCCTATATTTTTGCTATTGTCTCCGTTCCGAAATTATGGAAGGTAGGATACTGATTTCTTCATCCAGATATGGACAGAGGAAGGATTGGATGGAAAAAAGAAAGACTCCCCGAACAATATCAAAACTATTCATCAAATTGTTGGAAAACTTTTTTTATGTAATAAGATTTCAAATCTTAATTTGAAACACTGAGACAATTTAGATACCTACATAATGTTTTAGAACTACTAATATATCATGGACTAGTTTTCATAATGAACAAAAACACCAATTTGTTTTACATACAACAGCGGGCCTGGGTTTATGCAACAATACCTAAGAACAGTGTCCAGTTTATGCACATGTTAACATAATCCCAATTATTCTTGATTTCATATTTGATTATACCACTGAAAATAATTCCATAGAAATAAAAAAAATGTTCACTGTTTTTTCATTCATATTTCAAATAATTATAATAGATTAAAATAAAAAAAAACGGTTTTGAAATTCCTGTGATCATTGACAACTGTAAATATTTCAATTTTGCACATGTTCATTTTGACCTAAGTTCATAGTAATTAGTTAAAGGTTGGCCAACCTTCTAGGTATAGTTCTTAGTTGATAACAAGATGGATAGAATATCACTGGTGTAATGAATATTACTGGAGTTCTATCCCAACACCAAACAGTTATTTTTAACACCTCGACTAATGTTTCAATCACCAAGTGATCATCTCCAATAGGAAGATGAATGTGATCTTTTGGACCCCTTCCCATGTAAAATATTTTTTCAAAACCTCTGGACCTACGACACTCATGATAAAGAAATACCAAAGAGATACAATAAATCGCATTGTTTACATTTAGGAATAAAGTGTATTAGATGAAAGGTTTTTTACATGTTATGGTCCATAAATTAAAGATCTGAACAAAATACGCCCAACAGATTCCAACTCTTGCACCATTTATCAACATGTGTACAAAGTTGGTTCAATCTCATTTTTCGCGTCGAGAGTTTTTATCGAAACAAAGCGACCAGGTGAAACACTAGGGTTTCTATGCATCTTGGTTGATAACGAACTAATATGAGGAAACTATAACGCTTTTTTATTACATTGTTCATATAACTTGCAAATGTTACTCGAAATTAATGAAGCCATTCCTTTTATAACTATATTATGCTGGTGATGATTGGTGTTTGAATCTCATACCAGATTTTTCAAAAATTATATTTTTTTGATATCTACTCAAAATTTTAAAGATTTTCATTATTCCTTATTCCATAATCTGAACCTGAAACCAAAAGTATCGTAAAGGTGCTAAAAAGCGAGTTAATTGGTGTTTCTGCACTTTTCCAGATAATCTTGGTAATGAAGTTGGAAATTTAAAAGTATAGTACATTTCAAATATTCCTTCTCTATTTTAATGCTACTTCAATGACACAGTAAGCGTTCACAGAGTTAGATTGATGTTCCAGGCTCAACTATTACAAATTCCTTTCTAAAAAAACTATGTCCATACAACAAACAAAGTAACCCAAACAATGATAAATGTGTGATCTCCACATATCATCACCACGTAAATTTGCATCTATTGGATAAAATTAGCAAGCCTCCTTAGGCATTGCCAATCAAATTTAACTGCAATTGGCCTGGCGGAATTCATGTAGGTATATCGGTACAGGGTCGGAGTGGTGAATTACCTTTTAACGCCTTTGGTGTGTACATATACGGTATTTTGAAGTTTAAATATTTTAAAATGTCAAGTGCTGATAGTACTGAAACTGTGTCCCTACATTCCACCTAAAAACTTATCCTATACCCAGCCACAAAATACAAATAAAACAGAACACGAAGTCAGATGCTACAAATGCAATACGCATATATACAGACGGTTCAAAAACCAAAGGAGGCTCAGGATGTGAAGTGTACTCCAGATCACTAAACCTAAGAATTGAGTGGAGAATGGGAAAAAATACCAGCGTGGTTCAAACAAAACTGGCTGGTATCTCAATCGCCACAAAAGAAATAACCAGGAAACGAATTTCTGGCAAAAAAATAACAATCTGCTATGATAGCAGACAAGCCCTATTAGTGTAGTACTAGAGTGTCACCAAGATTTAGCCAAAGCCTTGGTAGATAACAACATTATCCTGAGGTAGAATAAAGGGCACGACAGGAGTAAAGGTAATCGCATTGCCGACTCTTCAGCCAAGGAAGCGGCTGGACTGAGAATTTTAGGACCCAGTGGCACCTACGGCCTGATGACTTCGACAATTGCTCAATCTCTAAGGAGATGGGATGAAATCAAAGAACGCACTCTTGCCAGGATCACCCTGGGCGTCCCTGGGAAGCTGGCGCCAAAGAATTATCTAGCAATGACCAGGAAAAAACTATCTCAACAGTAGGATTTCTGACTGGCCACTGTCAACTAAAAAAACACTTCCACAATATGGGGCTAGTGGACACACCTCTATGCAGGATGTGTGAACAGGAAGATGAAACTGTCAGGCATGTCCCATGTGAGTGTCCGGAGTTATCGTCAATAAGAGAGTGTGTGTTCGGCAAGTCTTGGCCTACACTTGCCGATATAAATGAGATGACTACTAGTGACCTGCCCACCTTCCTGAAAAGGACAGGATCGACGATGACTTAGGAGGGCCACTCCTTGGGAGGATGTACAATGGGTCACATGTGGCCTAAGTGCTGTGGGCCTACACTCACCCTCCCTACTCTACAGATACAGATACTTTTCCAATTATGAAATCCGTTAGAAATGTTATCAAGTCCTTGGCAAAACAAACCAAGTGCTTGAAAGAGAATATTGAAAAAAACTTTCCCGAAACACAATGGAAAAAACCATACGGCAATGTGCGTTCAAACTTTCAAAGATCTTGGTGACACTACCTGTTTCCAAGTGTACCCCTGAAAGGACTTTCTCTTCTCTGAAACGCCTCAAAACTTATTTAAAAAACTTCACAAGCCAGGAACGACTAAACGGTTTGGCGTTAATGTCAATCCACCGTAGAATAGACATCGACACCGAGGAGGTAATTGATTTGTTTGCTGCAAAGAAAGCTAAAAAAACTAAATTTGATTTGTAAAAAGATGTTAATATTTCTGTAATGGTTTTCTAATAAATATATATGATCATGTAACATTTCTTTCTTTCGTTATTTTTATATTTCATGTTTTTCTACTGTTCCACCAAACCATACCCCCCCCGAAATTTTTTCTGGCTACGGCCTTGGCAATATCTGCTTTGATTTGTCATGTGTAGATGTTGAATTCTGTCATTTGTTATGTTAGGTTAGTATCTCTTGTACTGAGTAACCATTCAGTAAAAGCATTTATTATTTGGGATGTGTATCTGAAAACAGCGATTCTCAGGAAGACATCTTCTAGTACCTAAATACCATTTCGACATTTTATTCAAATATTTTCGGTGTATAATTCATTTGCAAAACAACTAGGAGTGTCGCCTTTAACTTTACCTTCTATATATTAATAATAAAGAGCGTTCCCTACAATATTGTAATTCCGTACTGATGGGCACGTAGCTACTACCATTTTATTTTGTTTTGACTTTTGACAGTTTTTACTAGAACTTAGTAGTTTTGGGTTAAAAGATGATATTATAGAAATCGCATGCACTAGAGTTGTTCATATATATTCTACTCTACTGTCAAACTAAATAAATACCTGTCCACTTATTCCTGTGATAAGGGCAACTTTTCTTTCTTCCTTGTTGCTAGATGAAGCCATTTTCCGGTAACACACGTATTAGAAATTTCTAATCTGCCCATACATTTGAATATAGAGCGAACTAATTTAATCGTTCGCTCATTCCTGTAGTGAATTCACCGAATTCGAGTACTTATCACTATATAAATTAAAATAATAAAATGTAATGCATACTTGATGACAATGTTGCCAACGAAGCCGTTGGAAAGTAAAAGTTCCTAGAAGCTGGACTTTTGAATTGTAATGTCTTGTACAGCTTACATGAGTTCTTCACAACTGAATGTGTTCTCTCAATATGCGTATGTGGTTGTAGTTCAATTCCAACTACAGCTTAGCAAGTGACTGAAAAATCGACATTTCATCTTTATCAATAGGAATAAAATTTCACCCTTTCGTGTCTATCTGAGAGATACAAATAACCGAACACTAACGTACAACCAAACAATGCATACGACCACCGTACGACTGACAACTACAACTACAATTTAAAAATATTTTTTATGTATTGGCAACAGTGAAATTCTATTAAAGTCACAAAACAGTAGTTTCAGAAATAGGCACCGACATAACTTATAACTTATGTCGATGGAAATAGGGTATGAGTCGATCGATGAGGGCGCTAGCTAGTGTTGCCAATAGGTGGATAATTATCCCGAACGGGTGATAATTTGATGATTTATGGATAATTTCGCGGATACGTATTACTTCAATCAATCAATCAGTTTTTTTTGTGACATTCACATGTATAGGAATAGTTAGTTTGTGTTGAATACAAATTTAGGAAATTGTAAACAATTCAGCGAAAGTTATAAAAACATACAATAAAATTTTCATCAAAATACAAGTATATGTTTTTCATACATTATCAAATAATGAATATCAATTCATATTATAAAATTAGTTTATAAAGTTAGTTTAGAACAATTTAAGTCTTCTTATGAAGAGTATTACGGAGTCACAAGACCTTGTTTCCTTTGGTAGAATGTTAAACTTGTGAATATTTAGTAGATAACTTTTCGATAACAACTGATGATCTATTGGTATTTATTCAACATGTGGGAAAAGTTTCCAAATGAATAAGGTAGCGAAAGAAACGCCTGATTTTGATAGATTGTTTATTTCCTATCTGTTTCAGAGTAGCTCACAAGATTTATTTGTACAACAAAATATAAGCAAGTAGTTATTAAACTGACAAACACAACCATTTTTTTTTTCATTTCAAAGAGTAATTATTTTTCCATATTTGAAATCGGAATCATCTATAAGCGGGAAAAAACGTATTTAATCATTATTATAATTGAGAATGAACTGATACAATTGAGAAACATTATAATATAGTCAGATCACAGAAATATTTTAGTATTATCTCAAAAGTTACTGGAATATGATTTGATTTGACATGAATTTAATAGTTATTTTTATGTAGGTATATAAACTTCAATAGAATATACAATAGAATGGCACTCTTTCCAATATTTGATACATAGTTCAAGTGAGTGAACATCGTCAACTATAAATAGAGTGTGTGATAGTATATCAAGTAGAATTTTAACCTAAAATAATCCCCACTTTTCCAAAACGGTTAAATAATACTTGTAGTGTGAAGCTTGCAGCTTTATTTCAGCTAAAGATAATATATCCACTATCGAGGGCATTTTTTTCTTCACTAATCTATGAAGAATCATATGCCATCTACAGCAATTTGATTTTTCCTGGCCATGCACATGCAAAAAATGAAGATGGGAATTTGTTTCCCAAAAAACTTCACACACGAAATTAAAAACCATTTTTCGAAAGTTTACTTTCGGAAATTCACTTCTCCACTGTATATCAAATTATCAAGACATCTTGGGATAGAGAAGTTGCTTCTTGAAATTTGTCTCGGGGATATCACCAGAATGAGGGCAGGATCAAATCCAGTTTTGCTTCAATGATTAATTCTAGAAAACTTTCAGAAATTCATTCCTCCACTGTACATCAGATTATCAAGACATTGTTATTATATTGTTGTGGAATTGGCCGCGGTGGTAGTGCGCCCGACTCACGATCGGAAGACCGTGGGTTCGATTCCCGCCTCGACCAGATATTTTTCTCGAGAGAATTTATCTGGCTGAAGCTGGGATCTCCTTAGTCCTCAGCTCGCACAAGTTCTCAACTTTCGAGAGTTGTCGTTCGTATGGGGGCGACAGCTGATTAACGGAGAAACAGATTTTAAACAGATTTTTTTAAACAGATATATCTGAATTCTTATAATTTTCTAAAATATTCGAAATACAAAAGAAAAAACACCAAAAACATTCAACAATTAAGGGAAATGAACTCTTAAATTCATGTAAGCATCGGATACTCAAATTTTGGCAAGTGACGATCTATTTAGTCCACTATTATATTCTCTAGGGATCTTCGGTCAATAATACACACTAGTTTTAATGATGCTTGATGATTTAATTGGGACACAACTTCAAATACTACATCCAAATAACTTCGTTATTTTCAATTTTGTATTGAAAACAAATGAAAGTTTTGAAGTTTGTAATTCAAAACATTTTTCACGACTTTATTCAGCATATTGTACTAATGAAATAAAAATATCTCAAAACTGAGACATTTGCGTATTTTCTATTGTAAATACATTTCTTTCACTGTTGGAGTTTTCTGAGGATAAAGAAATACATGAGTCTTCTCTTACAAGTGAGTTATGGCAACACTGGTGTTAGCTCTGCTGCTAAATGTAGCATAGCTGCTAGAATAAAAATGAAAGTTAATGAAGTGAATGGGATAGTAAATAAATAGTGTATATCCATATTTTTATTATTTAAATTGATTTGTATTCAAAAGTTGAATGATGGAGTTACATTTTTATATAGTTGTTCTTTTGAGTATATATTTGTTACCAAAATCAGAGGTACAGTAAACCCAACAGGTGAATACAAATATAAAATGTTCCACATCAAATAATTTCAGGCTCAGTCATACGAAGATAAAAGATGTAAATGTATCTGCCCAAGCATTGCTTCTGTTTCAAATAAAAAAGAAACCAAAAATCTTACATCAAGAATTTTGTATATAACGAATGATCCACCAAATAAATGGTATATATCTACTTCAGTTGAGCACAAAGACATAAATAAATGAACTTTTTTATTGCAGTAACTGTGACGGAGTTATATTGCCCAGGATAGGACAAGACATTTTTGGAATGGAAAGAGAATTTTGTCCTCGATGTGAATGCAAATATGAAAATCGCAATACAACAATCATAAAAGTTGTTGTTATCATCGTCATTTGGGTAATCTCGATATTAGTGATATACATGGCATTCCTTATAATACTGGATCCCCTTTTGAATAAGCGGATAAAAGGAAATTATCAGGAACACACAAATGAAGAAGTAATTTCTTGAAACTGCGTTTATTTTTTCTGAGAATTTGTTTTCCAGGATGATGTATCTGCTGGACCAATGTCACATAACATGAGTGTACGGGGAAATGTTTTGAACAGGGTTGGACACCAGCAAGACAAATGGAAAAGACAAGTTAAAGAACAACGGCGTAATATTTATGACCGCCACACAATGTTAAACTAGTAGTACTCATTCCTGATATATTCTGTGTATTGAAATTAAATCTGTCTGCAAAATCTGATGTGGCACATCTAGTGATTCTAATGGTGTCAAATGAAGATATATACCTCATGGTATAATTATATGAAATCACTTAGGCAATAGGAGGATATTTGGGTGAAGTACAAGTGCAATTTTTGAAGTTAAATAGAAATAGGGACCTATATTCTGAAAATTCATTATTATAACACTTTCAGAACCCATATGTCAGAAAATAAATGATATTTCTAAGGATTTCACTTAATAGGTGCAGCATACCTATCTCATTTCCAAGGAACATGTGTTTTTTGAGATAACTAAAAAAATGACTTTTATCACCCTCCCGAGCTCCCTCTCAAAAATAGGTTTTCAAGGTAACCAGTAAATAATTCATCTTTTCCCATGATTTGATTGAAACACTGAATATATATCAGCCAAAAAAAATATGTACTCTTGCAGCTTTACTTTAATTTTTTTCTCTAAATATACAAAAAAAAATCCTAACCCAATGTTCCTCACATGCTCTTCTATTAATGATTTGCTGGTTTTCCCACGTTGTGTGCGTTTCTTGTGCTCGGCAATGCGAACATTCAATGGCCTATTAGTTTCACCGATATAGGATTTTCCGCGCTCACAAGGTATCCGGTAAATGTAATTCTTGGAATCGCCGTACTCGTTTGGTGGCCTGGTTTTCGTGGGGCTGTTACGGATAGTGTTACCGGATCTGAAGCAGGTTCTGATGTTGGACTTGGATACAATTTGTCTTATCCTTTCCGATAATCCTCTGATGTAGGGAAGTGCAAGCACTGGTTATGACGGCTTCTCTTCCTTGCGAGGCTCCTGCTGTCTTTTAGCCAAAGTCTGTTCCACCATCGCTTTGGAGTAGCCATTCCGTTGAAGATCATTTTTGATGATGTCTAGTTCCTTTTCGAGACCTTCCTTCGTATTACAGAGCCCGAAAGAGCCTTGATGATTCCTCTTTTAGTCGATTGATGGTGGTTGGAGTCGTGGTTCAGATACTGTCCCGTATGAGTGGGTTTTCGGTATGCAGATGTTTCCCACTTAGTGTCGGTCCTCTTTACCAATACGTCTAAGAATGGCAATTTGTTGTGGCCTTCCTTCTTCATTGTGAAAGAAACATATTACGCTGTTGATGTGTTTCAGGAAGGCGTCTAGTTCAGTATTCCCATTATGAAGGTGTCGTCAACGTATTTCAACCAGACACGAGGTTTCTTGTGGGCTTCTTCAATAGCCAGAGTTTCAAACCACTCCATATATATTGTAATGAATCTGAAGCCGGCCCTGACCGGTGTCCCAGTCAGCCAACGCATGACGCATACCGCGAAAACTCCGAATGGGTCCCGAAATCCGCAGAGGGATCCGGAACGTTCGTTGACGATATAAAAACGTCGCTCTTCATCCCGAAGAGCAGTCTGTATCAAGAAAGCGAATCTAGCGGTTAACAAACGGTGAAGATAAATTAAGCGTTAGTTACTGAGTGGTGTAAATAAATTAGTTGTGATAGTGAAGTATTGTTAAAATAAATTTGTTTAAGACAGTTTATTCTTTAATTCGTTACAATATGTTGACTATAACTGGTGAAAGTGGCGATCCCATTGGCAGTCCCTCATTTTGTGTAAAGAATTCGTCCTTCAGTTGGAAATAACAGATTCGTACACAGCATCCTAGCAATTCCATAATTACTTCTATAGGTATATTCGTTTTAGCTTCCAGGTCTCCGTCTTCGGGGACCTGTATGATTTGGAGTGCTTCTTCGACCGGCACGTTGGTGTAAAGGCTTTCCACATCGAAAATGATTAGTTGATCACACAGGAAGATCACTCCACATCATACTGAGTAAGCTATCCGAAAACGGGGACCTGGAAGCTAGAACGAATTTACCTATAGAATTATGGAATTACTAGGATGCTGTGTACGAATCTGTTATTTCCAACTGAAGGACGAATTCTTTACACAAGATGAGGGACTGCCAA